GCCTGTCCTCTGGCCCCGCGTCCCTCCTGGACCCTGGTGCCCTTTTATCTGGGGAGCTGCCCCCTGATTTCCGATAATTTTTATAAGGATGAGGTTCCCATTTTGTCTCTGTACATCTGAATCTGTTATTGGAAGCCACAGAAGAGGAGCAAATATCAGAGGTAAGTATCTCTGTTGTTACCCACCGGCTGTCTCCTAATCCTTGAGGTCGATGCACTGCTACAAAATGCTCTGAATGTGCAGGGGTTCCTGCGTCACAGGGGACTTTACAGAATGGACACTGCTTCCCACAGCCAAACACTCGCTTGAAGATCTCATCCTGGGGCTTCACTGCAAGTTTTGAGAGTTTTGACTGAATTTCCAGATTTTCAAAAGTGGATAAAACTTGTTTTTCCAGATCAGGAATAAACTGTTCTATAAAAGCTGAAAATTGGTCTGCACTTGCTGTGTTTTTAAACAGTATCACTTCTAAGCTATCCCTGGGAATGACTAGATCCTGCTGCAGCTTTTCACGAAAGTTGTCTAAAAAGGCAGAGACTGTCTTAGTCTTCTCACCTTTGGAGTTTTTCAGAACATCACTGAGTTTATTAATTATTGGGGAGAAAATCCTTTTTTCCAAATCTCCCAAATTTGCCTTCTCTCTGTAACGTGTTAACACATGTTTCTGTATCCGGGTTTTGATAAAATCTACATAATTCCTTGTGTATTGCACATAATTGTTAAAGTCATTTTCTTCCAACAGCTGCTTCAGAACAAAGAATTGGAAGAAGTTTTGGGTGCTGTACTCAATAGACTGTTCACTGCTGAGAATGTCATCTACGATTTCTATCCCAAGTCTCTTGTTCACATAGTCCACCAGGGCAGGTCTCAGACACTGATCACAAAAATTCCAGGCCCTATCTTGACACTCGTCCTTCTCTAAGTACAGAGCTTTAAATGTGGAGAGATACTGAGGTTTCAGTTTCCCCAGACATTGCAGAGGGTCATTTTCTGTAATGAATTCTTCATGCATCTTCTGAAATGCCCGAGCTGCATCCCCCAAAATGTGAAGCTTCAGGTCAACTTCAAAACAAGTGCTGATGTGAAGGTTTTGAACATTAGCCTGCTGAAGCTGCTCGTTAATCATCCGCAACAACTCTCTGCAATAAGTATCATTGTAATCTGCTTTGCCATTTGCCTTTTCTTCAGTGTAGCTATTGCACTCATCTATTAAGGATTTAGCCAGAGCCTCTGTTTTATGCCAGCGTTCCTGTGTAAAGAACTCTTTCACACCTTGCAACGCTTTTACAGCTGACTCTGATATGTTCTTACATTTGAGCACACTGAAGTCTAAGTATTCATTTTTCATTTTGAAATTGTGTGTTCTATAAGTAGACAAGCTTTTGGCCTCCTTTAACATCTGCCATGCTGCACTCCCCCTATTCTCTAGGTCTCTTCTCAAATGGAACTCCACATCCTTATCTATGATGCGTTTCTGTAAAGGAATGAGTGATAATTCTGACAATGTTTCTCTCCACATGGTTTCAAATTCTTTCTCCTGTTCATCATTATTTAGTTTGCATTTGCTTTTCCTGCAATGATTCAGAAGCCTGTCAACTTTCTCTTCAATTCTTCTCTTGTACTGTGACAGGACAGCATCTGTTTTATGTCGGCCTTTTCTAATTTCAATCGCTTCTTTCAACTTGCTGAATGAATAACTCTCCAGTTCATTCCTCAGACCGTTTGCACTTCTCCTAAAATCTTCTTTGTACTTTTCTATCAGGTGCAGATTTTCTGCTCCACTTTCAAAATACTGTTTTAAATTATCCAAAATCTTCTCTGCTTCTTGTCTCAGTTTGTTCTGTACCTCGTTCTTTAGTTTGGTTAAAACATTGGTGTCTAGTTTATCTGGTGGCTGATTTTGGATGAAAGTTTCCTTTTCAGATACCCAGAGATGCATCATCTTGCGGAAACCCCATTCCCATTCTGCATAATTTACAGACAACTGGTTATAGGCGTCAGCAACAAGACTGTTTCTAAAGCTGAAGATAAAGTTTTCATGTTTTACAGCATTCCACATGCTCTTCACCCATTCAAGAAATTGGGGGATGTCCTTGGGAGATCTGTTTTGTGAACAGCCTTTCAGAAATTCAAACAAATATTTCTTTAATTCATAAACCTTTTCACTGTATCCCATATTCACTGGAGCCATAGGCGGGACTCCATGCCACAGAGCAGGAATGTACCAATTGTGTTTTTCTAGATCATAATCCATAATATCAGAAAATGTCATCTCCCTGCCTTTCTTTTCCATGTTTGCTGCAGCTTTGGTCATTTCATCCATCTGCTCCAGGAGGTGTTTCCTGTCCCTCA